TCATTTTCTCATAGACTTCTATACAACCAGAGGAGTCGCCCCCTGATAGCAACTGCTATACACTTAATTCCATATTAATTATATAATATTAATTATATCTAATTAAGAATTTCCATGCAAAACACTGGACAAATATGCAATGTATTGTGACATAAGGATTAGATTTAACACCATCTGGACCTTTAAGTAAACCACAGACACATTTAGGTTTTTTAAACACAGGTTTTATAATTAACACTTTGTGTAACGACCTCTTTCAGTCGGGCGTGTCAGTGACGCTGCTGTGATTCTGTTCATCTGAAACCATCATTTACATCACTGGTGACGCCCAAGCTTCTATTCTGGTACTGCCTTTTGTTATTACGGGATTTAAATACCTTTGAATACTTGTTATTATTGTGCAGTGTATTATAACGTGAGCGCTGAAAGCACTAATAACATGAGACAGTTTGTCACATCAGTGTTTCTGTCTCTTTGAGATGAAATATATTTGATCCTAAAATAACTTCTTCTGTGCTGCAGATAAACCGTCTTTGGTCGCAATAGATTAGATGAACCAGGATGTATTGGTGAGTAAATGAATCACATGAAGTAACAGTGAAGTAGTGACGTATATCCTCTTTATTTGTTATAGAAATAAAACCATGTTCATGTCATTGCATGTTTCTATACATTCACAGACAGGCAGCCTGAAACTCAACTCTGCAAACTGTCGTTTGACGACAAAAGAGGAAGATTGAAAGCTAAAGAGATGACTGAGAACCTCAAATGTGAAATATTTCATATGCAAAACAACAAAAGGAAAGATAAGGCAGGGAGATGGGGAGAAAACATGAGATATGACAGACAGGAGTTCCTTTTTATAACGTAAAGATTATTAACACAGGTTTGAAATAGGTGAAATCTTAAGTGTTATTATTCTTCCACAACACGGACTGAGTCTATAAAGTACATTCAAAAATAATACTGACCACAATTAGTTTGAATATGCAAATTCTCTCGATTGACACTCTGGAAAAGAAAGTGTGCAACAATAACTTTGTTGTTGTTGGACAAGAGAGGGATGTTAAAAGATGTTATTTTAATATTTTAAAGATGTTTAGTCTCCAGAAGAAAAGGGAAACCTCAATAACTGAGGATCAAATGAGTGGAAACAGAAGATCGATCCTCTCTCACGTCTGACGCCAGAATCCATCTTCTAATCTTAGTCTCAAATAAAAAAGCAAATAAATGTATTTCACAAAATGATTTCCCAAATTTTAATGTGCAAAAAAAAAAAAAAAAAAAATTTAAAAAACAATGAATTCTGAGCAGATTTAACGTTGAGTTTAGAAACTCTCTGGAACATTTTCGACACTAATAAGAATTCGGACAGAAAGACTCATATTTGGGTATTAATCAGTGAGTCTCATGCAGCCTCAGGACCGTTATGGGACATTGATGCGGGACGAGGACACGAGGGACACATCTGTTTCTTCCACAGCCACAGCTCCATGCACTGAAACACATTTTAAAAAGAGGTTATTATAAATATTTGTGTCTATTTTTTCAACCCAGACCGAAGGCTTTTGATTTCTGCTGGTTTTAATTTCCAACATGCTATAATAAGCTTATGCACGACAGGATGAACAATGACACTGAACACTGTGGAGGACAGAAGCTGCCAAAATAAAGAATACAGAGATAAATGACACGTGAAATAAAGTGACATGCATTAAATGTACCGAAGTAATATTAAAATAGATTTAATTTAATTAAATGGTTTTTTTTTATAAATTCATTTTTGCATTTATTTGTGTATTTATTTCTATTTTGTTTATTTATTCATGTATAAAAGAAAGAAAGAAAAAATTAATGCCTAGTTATTTTTAATATTATTTTGTATTATATTTTTATTTATTGACATATTTTATTTATCGATTTATTTATTTATGGAATTATTTTTTTGGCAGCTTCTGTCCTCCATACTTGATAACTTACTCAGTTGTTCATTCACATTATTGTTGAAGGAGTGGATTTATGAAAGAGCTATTTCCTCTCGTTAAGAAGTTATGAAGCAGCAGAGAATTTGTTTCCATTGTTATTTATTGACTTTTCTTTACTTGTCTGTTACAACACAAAATACAAAACACTGAAGTTATGACTCAACACAAGAACACTCATCATTTCATTAGATCTACTGTATGTGCCGTACTTTCTTTTGTAAAAATGTTGTACTTTTCACCATCACATGAGCTGTGAGCATAACACTATGAAATAAACATCTCATTTATGAAAGAGGCACATATTCTTTGACAGTGTTAGAGTGGCTCATATTTCAATACGACAGTCTCTAAATATCAGCTAATACAAGCATGAAACTTCAACCACTGGTTATTCTGTCATTAAATATTCAAACTCAGGTTTTCAATAATAAGAATTTTCAACAAATCTAAAAAAAAAAAAAGAAACATGGGTGAATTCAGATTTCTTTAACTGTTTCTTTTGAACAATTATGATTTATGGATCCTGCTAAATGTGACCTTTGACACTGAGGAGACTGAGTGGTAATCAGCCCAAAGCAGACTTGGCGACGGGGCCCACACACAAGGATCAGACAGTCGAGGCCCTGAGATCTTAACTCTTGAACGTCACACAGAGTCCTAGAGAAAAGTTCGGGAGACCATCCAGATGTCATCGGTGTGAATCCTCCATTTCTACACAGCGATGTCTCCTCAGGGAGAGCTGACGCCGCTGTGTGTGCTGCTCCGTCTCCAGGCAGAGCGGTCCGTCTGCAGACTTCCTCCTCTCGTCCGAGAGCCTCCTCACCTGACAAGCCGACGCCTCACCGTGGGGAGGTCGACCCCGCTCTGACCTCCGAGACACCTTCAGCGAAACCACCAAAACGGAGAGACACGGTGATCAGTGAGAGTCAACAGGTCGTCAGCTGGTAGAGTGCTCCATGCTTCCACACAGACCAGGTTCAGGTGCAGGCAGATTGTTTTCATATCACTTCACACCATGCAAAACCACGGGCGGATTATGAGACAACGGGCTCCTGGGTACAGACATGCAAAGCACCTCAGCACCTCTCCTACAAAGCAGCAAGACACACAGACTGCACATATGTTCAGCCTCTTTGTGAGGTTGTTTGTGTCTCTATGTTACCTTTTGTGTCTCATTGTGGCTGTGTGCATCTCTTTGTAGTCATTTTCTGTCTCTTTGTGGTCAAGTTGTGTGTCTTTGTAGTTGCGTTATGTCTCTCTGTAGTTCTTTGTGTCTCTTTGTATTTGTGTTGGTCTCTTTGTGGCCATTTTGTGTCTCTTTGTAACATTTCCGTGTCTCCCTGTAGTTTCATAGTCGTTGTGAGTCTCTTTAAATGTCTTTGTGTCTTCTTGCAGCGGTTTTGCATCTCTTCGTAGTCGTTTTATTTCTGATCATGTTGTGTCTCCTCCTGGTTGGTACGTGTCTCTTTGAGACGTCAGTAATACATCCATGCTGTAGAAAGCCTCCACCAGGAATGAGCTGCCGTCATGCACCGTGGATCTGATATCTGACATGCTGGGACCGGAGTGAACAAGTGAACCGACATGCAGCGCGTGAGAGTTATAACAGATGTCTTACCTCTTTGTGGAAGCGGTGTGAACAGTGCAGCTGTTGAACTGGCCCTCCGCTCTTCTTCATGTCCTCATGACAGATCAGGCACAACTTGTCATCATCATTCTGTTGAAAAGAAGCATCTTTCCTCTTAAAGCTCAGCCGAAATTAATTGCAATACTACAGTAATGTGAAATGTCTTATAACAGTCCTGATAGTAAAATATAAAATAAAATACACTTTGTGGTCATTTTGTCTCTCTGTAGTTGATTTGTGTCTCTTTGTGGTCCCTTTGTGTCTCTGTAGTTGATTTGTGTCTCTTTGTGGTCCCTTTGTGTCTCTGTAGTTGATTTGTGTCTCTTTGTGGTCCCTTTGTCTCTCTGTAGTTGATTTGTGTCTCTTTGTGGTCCCTTTGTCTCTCTGTAGTTGATTTGTGTCTCTTTGTGGTCCCTTTGTGTCTGTACATTCTTTTATGCATTAAAAAGTTTGTCATTAAAACTAAAACTTGTAAAACATGTAAATACCCACATATAAAATATAGATGTGGTCCAGCCCTTTTATAAATATTTCTAATATTGTATTAATAGTCCTTACAATAAAAAGTAAAATAATGAAAATGATAAGTGTTTTGGGGACATGTCCATGATCCTGTTAGGATACTGAGGTACATCCCTCTTGAATCTCTTTAAAGGGCTTCATAATACCCTGTTTGTGTAAGTTAACTGGATAATCTACTTAGTAAATGTCTTAATGTAGTTGGCGCAGACCCTTGTGTTCCTTTTGTCATTGCAAGCATTCCCAGAGTCCGCTCATGGACGGCCTTGTCTGATGAAGACACCTGTCAAACTGCTTAAATGTCCATTAACCTTTTAACACCGCTCACCAGAGACGTGGTCCTCTCATCCCGGAGGAAGAGCCTCCTCTCGAAGGACTCGGTGAGCTCGGGGATGGTGCTGATCCGGTTCTCCAGGATGCCGGACTTGGAGCGGCTGTTGTCGTCCGAGGAGGATCGGTGGGCTCTCTGGTGGTTCCTGACCTCCATCATCTCCTCTCGGGCTTTCATGTGACTCGGGCTGTGGGCCATCGCCGCCGCGTGGATCCGGTTCAGCTTCATGGCGTCCAACTGAGACTGTGGACCACAACAGAGACGGGACATAGAATCAGTCCAACAGCCTCAGCTAGATAGAGAGAGAGAGAGAGATAGATAGATAGAGATAGAGAGAGAGTGAGAGTGAGAGTTAGATAGAGTGAGAGTGAGAGTTAGATAGATAGAGAGAGAGATAGATAGATAGATAGAGATAGAGAGAGAGTGAGAGTGAGAGTTAGATAGATAGAGAGAGAGTGAGAGTTAGATAGATAGAGAGAGAGATAGATAGATAGATAGAGATAGAGAGAGAGTGAGAGTTAGATAGACAGAGAGAGAGATAGATAGATAGATAGAGATAGAGAGAGAGTGAGAGTTAGATAGATAGAGAGAGAGTGAGAGTTAGATAGACAGAGAGAGAGAGAGAGAGAGAGAGACAGACAGAGAGAGAGGCAGGCAGACAGTGAGTGTGTCAGTGAGTGGAGTTAATCAGGTGTTTGTAAATCTTCAACCTATTTATAGTTCAGTGAGGTCATCGATCATTTACTCAACAGCAGTAATCAGATTAGTCTGAAATGTTGCAGGTCGTTGAGGTCGAAGTACATTCTGTTGTACTTAGTGTTGTTGATGTTTATAATCGTTCCTCCCTGAATATAAATATAACTTAACAGAAGATTTATTAATATGTGGTCTTAATTAATTAAATGAACTTAGTGAATTATATCTGGTGCACACAAATTAATATGTGTATCAGTGTTGGCTGGTCAGTAGAGGGCGCTAGGGCGCCGCCCCACCTTGAGCCACAACAAATAAAATAAAATTTATAATAATAATAATAAACTATACAGATTGTCAATATTTGTGTTTTTGATATATGGAATCATCCAGTAATATGTGTAAAATATGATATCTGCGGTAAATATATGCTTTTCCTGCACGTCCTATCCGCGTGTCTGCACGTCTCAGCAGCTCTGGAGAAACTGTCCAGAAGAGGCGGGGCTATGAAGCAGTTTAGCCAATAGCTGGTTAAAGATATAAATGTGTGACATACAATTTAGCCAATCAGCGCCCTCAAATAGATTCAGTTTGGGGCAGAATGCGCGTTCCCGTCCGGACGAGTCTCAACAGGCGAGCGCGAGCACTGCTGCTCCAAGGGTACATCCCAAGTCTCTTAATGTCGTCCCCGTTTCCCTCACTTGCGTCCTTTCCTTGCGTCTTAGTCCCTCCCACCAGGGATGCATGGAGGAAACCATGCGAGGAGAGAGGAACGAGGAATTATGTTTTAAGAGACATGAGACGTCCTTTCCTCAGTTGCGTCACGTGAAGCGACGTCTGTTCCTGATGACGGAGGATCAGCTGATCACAGCTGGATCAGCTGTCAGTCGGCTTTAACAGCTGGAGAGACTTTTGATAAGTTTGTGTGTTCACATGATCACTGTACTTAATAACAGTAACTAATAACACTAATAACTCATAAAGA